TGCAGGAAACGATGATGAGAAGGGGGAAGGAGGAGGAGGAGGAGGAGGAGGAAAAGGAGGAGGAGGAGGAGGATCGTAGTGGACGGATGCGATGTGGAACATCTTCACGGTGATGATGTTTGGGAAGATGAGGTGGTGGAGGAGGTGGAAGGGGGGAGAGGTGGGCTTTCACATTTGACATCTTCCGTCTTCACTTCTGGAAGGGCTCATTTGGGCCGTCTTGGGGCCGTCTTGGGGCCGTCTTGGGCTCCTGTGGGGCAGTTCTCGGGCTCCCTTGGGGGCCTTTTGGGCCGCCTTGGGGCCATCGTGGGCCATCTTGGGGCTCTCTTGGACCGTCTTGGGGGCCTCTTGGTCGTGAGGGGGGTCTTTTGAGACAGTCGTGGGGCCGCCGAGGGGCCCTCCAAGGCCCTCTTGGGCATGTCAGAGCTCTCGTCCTGGGGCGTCTTGAGGCCGCCTTGAAAGACTATTGCGCAGGTTTGAAGGTCCCTTGGGCCGTCTTGGGGCCACCTTGGAGGCATCCAGGGCCGTCTGGAGCTGGAGGGAGCCCGACAGGGTGAAGACGCCCAACATTTCAAACGCCGATGGGATATCAAAGATTCTCGTCTCAGGGCCCTTCTGAGGGTCCTCTGGTGGCCCTCAAAAGGGTTGCATTGGTCGCCGTCTTGGTGCTATCTTGAGCCATCTTGGGCCGTGTCTTGGAGCCGTCTTCTGTCAGCTCGGCGGCCTCGGCTGCCTGCCCCGTCCATCTTGAAACCTCGTGATCGCGGACCCATTGTTACAAAGGATCGTGGCATCGGGAGCTGGGATCCATAGTTTCTGAACGAGGGATCGTGGCCTGGGCAGGGCGAACACATGGATCCTGTTACGAGGGGTCGTGGCATCGGGGGCGCGGATCTTTTGTTCTTTACAAGGGAATAGGGGTGGGCGATGCGAGGGGGGTCGTCCCCTCGAAGATTGCAGAAACTGCACTTGGCATTCTACCACGCCTCATCGTGTCCGGGGGCACGGGGGCGAATTTGCTCTGATATTGAACCTTTTGGTACTGATGCCAGCTCAACGATTAATCGACTGGGCTACAGAGGTGGTCGCAATGTCCATACATCATTGCGTGCCGCATGGCATGGGAGCATGGAAAACCAAGTCGAAGGAATGTTGACGAGTCCGCTGCATGCTGCCGCTTGTTGGCAGGCAGGCCGCTGTGTGCTGTACATCGCCGGTGTGGGCCAGCTGGCATACGATACCTCCAGCGATACATTGGAGAACGCCGTCGGCAGCCGGGCCCGCTCCCGGGATTCGGGGAGCAGAAACAGCACGGCGGCGGCGTTCGTCAAGGATTGTGCCCGGGATGCGTCAGAGCCTGGAGGGTTCCTTTTCTGATGAGGGCGGCGGTGATATCCATGGCCAAGCCTCCGTTGGTGCTCCACCGGGTTTTCTGACCCTGGATCCCTTGTCCAGTGGTTCCTTGTCCAATGCCCTCACCGAATCAATGCCACGCCGCAGTGTGGAACCCGGCAGAGCATTATTGCTGACCCTCGTGTTCCTCTACGTGCTTCCTTCTCCTTACCTGCTTGCGTGGGTCTCCCTCCGCCCTTCTCCCGACGCCTTACTGCGCCCCTCTTACGCCTCCGTCCAGCTTCCCCGCCCACCCCCTCACCCATGCTCACTATGTTGTCTCTTCCCGCTCCTCCGCCTTGATCACCTAGTCCTTCTCCGCCCACCCCATCCCCCCAACCCTCCCCCTTGCGTTCCAGCGCGCGCGCGGGCAGAAGGAGGGGGAGGTGGAGTTGGACGAGGCCTGGGGTGAAGGTCGAGCAGGCGCAGGGTAAGGAGAGAGGGGAAAGGTGTCAAGCCAGGTACGCTCGCGCCATGTCTGACATTCTACCTCTGGAGCGAGAGGATAAGCAGGAGGAGAAGGAGGATGAGGAAGGAGGAGGATAAGGGAGGATGAGGAGGACGATGATGAACAGCAGCAGCAGGAGGAGAAGGAAGAGGAGGAGGAGAGGAGGAGCGGGAGGAGCAGGAGGACCAGTGGAAGGCGGAGAAGGGGGAAAGGAGCGGGGCGACAACGACGACGAAGGACTCGGATCCAGAGCTGTGGCCCGCGCTGAGGAGAGAGTGAACTTTTTAACGGTGGGTGCAAAGCGTCGATCCCAAAACGAAGCCAAAGGTGCAGCGGGAGCACCATGTTGAAATACTGCAGAGGTCTTGATCGCAAAACAATACTGAAAACCAACTTGTGAAATCCTGTTCGTTGGCGACAGATTGCGGGAGAGACGGGCCCGTTCGGACAGGATCCAGGGAGACAGGAGAGCAGTATTCAAATTCTTTACGCTTCGCGTATCCCCACCAGCCCATCTCACAACAGCAACTCATGCGAAGCATGCCGACAGTCGTGTTTTTCAGGCGTGTGTCCATTTGGCCCCGCATATCTCCCCTGTTCCTCCTTCCTCCCGCCTCCTTGTACATCCTCCTTGTGGGGGGAGCGGGAGAAGGACGAGGCGGAGGAGGAGGGAGAGAAAGCGCTCCTCGTGGTTTGAGTCGTTTGGGGTTTCTCGTCCTGGTGTGAGTCGTTCGGGCCCTTCTTCCTGGTGTGAGTCGTTCGGGCTCTTCGTGGTGTGAGTCGTTCGGGCTCTTCGTCCTGGTGTGAGTCGTTCGGGCTTCTCGTGGTGTGAGTTGTTCGGGCCCCTCATCCTGGTGTGAGTCGTTCGGGCCCCTCCTCCTGGTGTGACTCGTTCGGGCTCCTCGTGGTGTGAGTCGTTCGGGGCCCGCGTCGTGGTGTGAGTCGTTCGGGCTCCTCGTGGTGTGAGTCGTTCTCCTCCTTGGGCCTCTTGGGGGCCTCTTGGAGCCTCTTGGGGCCTCTTGGGCCTCTTGGGGGCCTCTTGGGGGCCTCCTGGGGCCTCTGGGGGCCTCTTGGGGCCTCTTGGGGGCCTCTTGGGGGCCTCTTGGGGCCTCTTGGGGGCCTCTTGGGGGCCTCTTGGAGGCCTCTTGGGAGGCTCCTGGGGACCTCTTGGGGCCATCTTGGGGCCTCTTGAGACCTCCTCAGAAGCGCAAAGAAGCGCTGCCCCTGAGAAGGACAAAATGAGCCCAAAACCCTAGTACAATCAATGATTTTGCTATGAAGGAAGATGAGCGCGGCCCCCTCGGGAGACCAAAATGGGGCCAAAACCATAGTAAAAGCAAGGATTTTGGCTTCACAGAAGAGGAGGGGGCTACAAGAGTGCCCCCCCGTCGGGGCCAGAATCCTCGTGAGGGTCGTCGTTTTTTGGCCCTCCCAGGCGTCGAAAAAGACCCCCCTGACCACCCGCGGAACTCCTTCTCCAGGCCCAGGGGGAGGGGGTAGGGGGAGGGGTAAACCCTTCCCCGAAGGGGAAGAAGGGGGGTTGAGGACAGAGGGGGCTCTCTAAACCACTCACGCCCTAAAGGGCTGGTGGGATTGAGCAACCGTGGAGAATGGATGCCGATGGGGACGAGATGCATTAGCATGTAGAGGAGGTGGAGGACGTTGGGAAGCGGAGGAGGAGGAAGAGGAGGAGGAATGAAGACGAGGAGGAGGATGTTGGGGAAGATGAGGGTAGAGGGGGATGCGGAAGAGGAGAACCACCAGGGAGGACGGAGGAGGACCAGCCCGGCCGCCCTCCTCCGTCCTCCGAACTTGCCTCCTGTGCCCTCCTCCTTCCCTGCTCCCGCACTCTTCCCTCCGTCCTACTTCTGTCCCCTCCCCCCGCGCGCTCCCGCTGAGAGCGCGAGACGGCGGCGACGACGACCACGACCACCACGACCACCGACCACGACCACCACGACCACCGACCACGACCGCCGACCACCGACCACGACCACGACCACGACCGCCGACCACCGACCACGACCACGACCGCGACCGCGACCCCGACTTGTCCAGGGGCACGTGCTGACCAGAGTTCGTTTGGAGCGTATGCAGCCGCGGCGACGCAGGGCGCTCCCCGAAGCCCAAGAGAGGCCTCAGAAGCATCCGAAGACCTCGACCACCGACATTTGAACCTGGATCTATGACGACGGCGCCGGCGACCGTGACAGCGACGGCGACGGCGACGACGACGACGGCGCCGACGCCGACGCCGACGCCGACCACGACGACGACGACCGTTCACAATCGTCACCAGACCCCTCCGGGGGTGCATCCCCTGGACAGCTCTTCGTCCTGGACTGAACTGCAACGACCCCTGCGGGCCCGAAGCAAGCAGTCCCCTGGGAGGCCGAACTTTGCGGAAGGCCTCTGGCAGCAGCGAAGTCGACAACGACGCTGACCAGACCATATCTCCGACGGGGGGATAGGGAACAGGGGGTTACGAAATCTGCTGCATGCAGCTGGTTCTGGCCCCGCCGTCGGGCTCCTTTCATCGATACTGTGGCGCCGCTGCCGTCGGGAAGTAACCTGATTCGACGAACCCTTTCCCAGAGATCCGACGTCTTGACCTTTTCGATACGGGGTCCCCGGGAGTGCCGTCCGCATTCTGGAGACCTTCTTTTCCATCCCGTGTCGTTTTTGACGGTCGCAGGGCCCGGCGAGGTCTTGGAGACTGCGATAATTGCCAGACGCCTCAGTTTTGTTTCTTTTTTTCAGAACTTCGGACGCCTGGGTGTTGGTCCGACCCGAGACGATGGCCAGTGGGCGCCGCAGGCAGCACGTGGCGGCAGGCGCCAGCGGAGGAGGGCAAGCTCGCCCCAGGGGCCCGATGCGGGTCCCTGGGAGGCCAAAGACTTCGGAGAACCTGCGGCTTCGAAGACGACGAAGACGACGACACCGACCACGACGACGACGACGCCGACGACGACGACGACGACGAGGACGACGGGGACGACGCCGACGCCTTCGCCGCAGGTTCTCCGTAGTCTTTGGCCTCCAGGGGCGACGACGAAGACGACGACGACGACGACGACGACGACGACGGCAGCGGCGGCGGCGGCGGTGGCGACCGCGACGTCGACTGGTCTCCCCAGCGATGGCTGGCTGGGCGCCGCAGGCAGCACGCGGCGGCAGGCGTTGGCGGAAAAGGGCAAGCTCGCGCTCAGCTTCCCCAAGCGGTGGCGGCAGGGCGAGGCTCTCTCGCATGTCGTCCTCGTCCTCGTCCTCGTCCTCTTATCGTCGTCGTCGTCGGCGTCGGCGACGGCGTCTACGTCGGTGGTGTCTGCGTCAGGGTGGGGCAGACTCAGGTGGGGATCGGGTTCAGGGGAGGGCGACCTCTTCTCGAAGCCGAAGTCGATGTTCGAGGTCCTCGGGCATCTTCCAGCCTCGGGGCGCCTTTCCAGCAGCTGCGCCCCGCCGAGAGCATCCCGGGGGTGCCCGGGATCGCCCCGAACGGCCGCCAGGGACCCGAGTTGTCATCCGAGGACCACCAGGGAATAGGCTCAGGGGGGGGGGATGCATCGACCCCGAAAGAGCGCGTTCTGTGGTCGCTTGGAGGGGGGGGGTTGGAACCGGACCCCCCCTCCCCGTTACCTCTCCTTTCTCCCTCTCCTCGGCTGGCGGCGGCGGCGGCGGGGACGACGATTCCTTTTCTGGGCCGGCGCCGGCGCCTGCGGCGGCGGGCGGCGGCGGCGGGGAGCGTCGACGAGGACTACGGTGGTGGTGGTGGTGGTGGTGGTGGTGGTGGTGGTGGTGGTGGGTTGTGATGGTGGTTGTGGCGGTGGTGGTGGTGGCGGTGGTGGTGGTTGTGGTGTGGTGTGTGGTTTGTTGTGGTGGTGTTGTGTGGTGGGTGCTGGTGGTGGTGGTGGTTGTTTGTGGGTAGTGTGTGGTTGTGTTGTGGTGGTGGTGGTGTGGTGGTGGTGGTGGTGGTGGGTGTGGTGGGTGGTGGTGGTGGTGGGGGTTTGGTGGCGGTGGTTTGTGGAGGCTGGTGGTGGTGGTGGTGGTGGTGGTGGTGGTGGTGGTGTGGTGGTTTGTGGTGGTGGTGGGTTGTGCTGCTAGTGGTGGTGGTTGTGGCGGTGGAGGTGGTGGTGGTGGCGTGGTAGATTGTAGTGGTGGTGGTGGCGGTGGTGGTGGCGGTGGTGGTGGTTGTGGTGGTCGTGGTGTGGTGGTTTGTTGTGGCGATGGTGAGTTGTGGTGGTGGTGGTTGTGGTGGTGGTGGCTGTGGTGGTGGTGGTTGTGTGGTGGGTTGATGGTGGTGGTGGTGGGTCGAGGCGGTGGTGGTGGTGGTACTGGTGGTGGTGGTGGTGCTAGTGATGGTTATCGTTGCTGCGTCCCCGCTGTCGCCGGCGCCAGCGCCGGCGCTTTGGCCGCCGCCAGCGCCGGCGCCGGCGCCAGGGGCGGGGGGGGGTTTGACCCCCCCCCCCTCGGCGCCAGAGGGGGGGTGAACCCCCCCCCGTTTGGCTGCCTCTGGTCATCGTCGCTGCGTCCCCGCCGTCGACGGCGCTGCTGGCGGCCGCCGGCGCCGGCGCCAAGGGCGGGGGGGGGTTCATGAGGGGGGGGGGGTTGGGGGGGAGGGGAGTCCCCCTGGTTTTGATCGACGGCGCCGACTGTTGGGGGCGGGTCCCCCCCCCGGTTTGAAACGCGCCGCCGAATGTTCCCAAGGCAAGCGCCCGTGAAACGCGTTCCCTCATCGACCCTCCCGTGCATCGCCGACAGGGGCCCGATAGCCCGCCCTACCCTGGAACGTGCGGGTTCGCGACCGGATGCCTATCGCCGATCTATCGGCGATATATCGCCGATTCAAGGTCGATGTTTCCCCCCCTGAGCTGGTCCCCCTACTATCACTGGCCCTCCCAGGATTAAAAGCCAGTCCCCAGGAGTGGGTCGAGCTTCTTGGGGCCTCATTTGGAACAAAAAACAAGATGCGGGATCTCTGTAAGGTTTTTGATATTTTCGGCGTGGCCCAGGACGGTCAAAATATTGTTTTGGATGAAAAGCCGGCCCAGACCTCTGGGGGGCCACTCTGCTGAATGAGAAACGACGCCGGGGGTCTGGGGCGAAAGAGAAAGTTGGAGGCGGCCAGGGGGTCTGATCTTCTTTGGACCTGAGAACATCGGTCAGGAGGCTTTGGTCAAATCTGAGGAATATGTTCCCAGACCCCTCCCAGGGTCCATCGTGCAATTTTTCATCCCAGATCCCAGGGCCCGCAAATGCTTCCCAGGGACGGAACAGAGGTGGAACTAGAGGAGGTTAGAATGGGATTGGGGGGGAGGAAGAGATGGGCAAATGGCGTTTTCGTGAGAAAGTGGTGGGGGTCGCGACTGGTAGTCGCTTTTGGCAGTGCCAAAAGTTTGGGCAACTTTTGCTTATTTTTCGTCTTGCGCCGGCCATGTCGGGATCAGCTGCTATTCCGGATCTTTGTGTGTCTCTGGTTCGGCGTTGGGCATTTGTTCATTCGTGATGTTTGCCGTTGCACGATTCCCTGCCGCAGACGAGAGATGTTCTGGAAGGACGACGCGTTTTGGGGTGATACGCGGGTTTGCCAGAGGGTTCGGATTCGAGGAGGTTCATCTTTCAGGATTCCTGGTCTTCGCTTCTCTGCTTGTTTCGGGTTTCGCCTGCCGTCGGTTCTGGGTTTGCTCTTTGGAGGTTCTGGGTTTCGGTTTCTGGTTCCGGGTTTCGGCTGGGCCGATTCCGGTTTCGCCTCGTTCTGGGTTCTGGGTTTCGCCTCGATAAGTTCCGGGGTTCACGCTCTGACCTGTGTCCGCAGGCTTGCTTCGGGCTTTTGACAAACAACGAACGACGCACAGCATGACACATGTTACGGCGAGGTTAGTAGCCCTGGATGGGGTAACATCGAGGAGCGTCACAAAGGTGGTCCAGGGAGGAGGTGAAAGGGGAGGGGCGAAGGAAGAGGGGCGGAAGAGGAGAGCGGAGGAGGAAGTGCCATTAATCAGAGCGAGGGGGCCGAACGGTCATTCATTGCCCCCGGGCGCGTGGTTGAAGTGAGGTTCTGCGGTGCTGATTGTGGTTTGTATGGTTGTGGTTTTGCTTGTTGTTGTTGTGGTTGTGTTTATTGTCGTTGTCGCCCTTGTTGTTGTTGGTGTTGTTGTGGTGTTGTTGTTGTTGTTGTTGTTGTTGTTGTTGTTGTTGTTGCTGTTATTGTTATTGTTATTGTTATTGTTCTTGTTTTTGTTGTCGGTGCTGTTCTCGTTGTCGTTGCTGCTGCTTATATTGTTGTTGTTGCTGTTGTTGTTGTTGTTGTTGTTGTTGTTGTTGTTGTTGTTGTTGTTGTTGTTTTTTCTGTGTTTGCTGTTTGCTGTTGGTTGTTGGTTGTTGGCTGTTTGTTGCATGTTGTTCGTTGTTTGTTGTCGTTCGTTGTCGTCGCCCCCCCCGCGACCCACCCGCGACCCACCCGCGACCCACCTGCGACCGACCCCGCGACCCACCCGCGACCCACCTGCGACCCACCCCGCCCGCGAACCGGCCGCAACCCACCCGCGACCCGCCCGCGACCCACCCGCGACCCAACCGCGACCCGGCCGTGACCCGGCCGCGACCCGGCCCGCGACCCACCCGCGACCCACCCGCGACCCCACAACCCAACCCGCGACCCACCCACATTGCTGTAACAAAAATCAGCACCTGCGGTGGGCTCGTTGCATAGCTTGTAAATTTATGCGCGTGCGGCGGGCTTCGTCTGCGCTTCACAGACTGCCGACGTCCCCGCCGCCTCTTCACTCTTATCCGCAACGGCGGGGTGCTACCTTGTGAGGGAGGATGGTGAGAGGGAGGACACGGAAAGGACGAGAGATGAAGGAAAATGGAGGAGCAGAAGTAGACGGACGAAGAAGAGATAAGAAAAAGGGGGGGAAAGAGGGAAGGGCAGAAGGCGAGCAGGAAGGAGGACAAGCGAGGGGCAAGAATGGATCGGATACCTGTGCGGCACGCGCCTGAGGCATCGCCACTGACCTGCCACCGTCCCGAAGCATACTAAAATTGAGTTGTTGATTATTGCAAACGGTATTTGAAGAAAAACAAACTTGCATCAACATAAATTTTCTGAGCTCCGCCCGCATTTTTTCGATCCGCGTTGGTCCCCCTGGCGGCGTCTCAAGCGCCGCCCCTGGCGCGCTCCGCGCGCCAGGGAGGGGGGTCCAGCGCGGATCCAAAAAATCCGCGTTGACCTCCACTTGTTTATTTTTATGCGGTTTTTTGTTCCTCCAGTGCGTCGGTCTAGTCTGCGGGACTTTCTGGCACACGGGCCGGGTTTTCCCGCGCGAACACCACGAGGACGGCACGGATTCACAGGAGAGGGAGGTCCAAGGAGAGAGAGCTGATGGAGCGTGACCGTTCGGCCCGTGACCTTCCGCATGGGAAGAAGTGTGCGCGCGCTGGACGCCCCACATGGGGTAAGAAAAGAAAGGGGGCAGGGGCACGAAGCAGAAGTCAAACAGAGAAGGGGAAGGGGAGGGCGAGGGGGGCGGAGAGGACTCGTTGAGTCCCCGGTCAATCAAGAAAGGGGGGGCGAGATCGGTTACTTGGAACACCAGTTCCTGAGCCAAGTTGCTTGCCAACACGGCACGACTTCATAGGGTCCAAGTAATATACTATGCGCAACGGAGGGGCGCTCAATCAGCAGGGAGGCTCTCACCCAGCGGGGCCATGCTTGGGCACCTCGGGCCAGCTTCACACGCAGTGCCACCTAGAAACGGGTGGAGGACCCCTTCCTGATCTTCAGCTTCTTCAGGGCCCTGTCCTGCACGGCATGGGCTGCGAAGTGCAAACCAAAAAGCTGATTCGCCGTCCGTCCCGTTGCGATGTACGACGGAACCGACGACGACGACGATGACGACGACGAGGCCGGCCCAGCCAGAGATGGGGGAGAACCGCTTCGCCCCAGCGGACCGCTTCGCCCTGGCCCGCTCCGCCCGGGCCCCGCCCGCCTCGCTCCCCTGCGCCCGCCCGGCCCGCATGTCCCGCCTGGCCACCTGCTGGCCTGCGATCCGGCCCGCCCGCTTCCCAGACCTCGTCGGTCGAAAGCTGGGCGAGGGCCGCTAAAACCGTGGCTGCTAAAACGGCCCCTCCTGGAAGGAAAAAACAGCTTCCCGGAATGAGGCCACGCGAAACAGTCAATGGGCTTCTTCCCAGAAGGACGAAGACAACTTCCCAGAGGTCGATTTTAGCAGCCACGG